CCAAACATTTTGGGCTTCAGCTCCCCATCCGAATCCTGAGATTTATCATGCAAAAACATCTGGAGGGATCCGAATTGGAGGAAATTGTTCTAGAAGAAGCAAGCAGCTTTGAAGAAAAGTGTTAGTGTCACCAAGCAAGTAGTTCCTTAGTTGTTGCTGAGCCTGGCCTAGGACAGAGCATATGTGCAAATGATTAAACAGATGTTCAAACTATTTGACTGCTTGGCAACTTGTTGATTCAGCTAATGCAACTGGATTATTGGCTGGTGATGTCACAACTGAAGACTGAATGCCCTACTGATGCTCTTCTTACTGGCTTTCTTCTTACTATGTGCCTTAAGAAAAGACATAAATCAGAAACAAAACCCCAAAGCAATGACTCCTAAGAAGTCAGTATCACAACCAGGAGGAACCTGTCATCCCATCAATGCTGACTGAGATGAATATGTTGCCACTGTTATGAATCATTGCCACACGTTTCAGCAACTCCTTGGAGAGTGCTCAGAGCAAAGAAAGATTTGATTGCTTCAGAGCACAACATAAAAAGCCAAATGTGTTACAGGGAGATGTCTTCAGCCCTGAATCAGGTGTGAGCTTACATATTTATTTAATGGTTTTATTTTTAGCTCACACTCACTGTTCTTAAATAGCTCCCTTTCATTTTGTCTGACCTCCTTTCAAACTTGTATCTGCCAGAAACAGTTGTCCAACTGAGATGTGTGGAAGGCAAATTCAGCCTGAGCCAACTCCAACATCATAATTTGAATGCCCTTGTTTTAGGTGCAACCCATATGTACTTTTGTGGTTTCCAGACCTCATCTTCAAAACGTTTGATATATACTCAAACTGTCCCAAGAAAGGATAATCTCAACACTGCACAGGGACACGTCCCCCTTTGATAAAGCAAGCCACATAACCACCATCCCACTGGCACATCTAACTTTGGAACTGGGCTTTGAATACCCTAAAATTGCAGCCTTTAGTTGGCTATTTTACAATGCACACTTTCCCCCCCTTTGCTTTGCTTTGGATGATGCCCTTCAAATGAACAGTCTCAGCTAGTCACTTCTTCAGACGTGGACACTACCGGAGTATGTTCAAGCTAGATGGCTGAATTTTACATGCTGAATTTTACATACTGAAACAACAACCAGTTCTTTAGCTCCCCATCTGATTTAATTTAATATGTGGCTACAGAGTGAATTTATGCATGTATCTTAGCATGCAAAGGAAGAAAGCCACTTAAGACAAAACAAAGGCAAACAAATGATCACTGGCAAATGTGTTAACATGAAGCCAAACATGTATCAATTAAATATAATTTTCACATTAATTGTATTCTCCATGTTATGATTTCTCAGCTAAATCATTTCCTCAAGCAATTTAGAACTTATGAATTGAATTTCACATCACAAGTTTTAACTGAGCTATACAGAAATGTAAAACATTAACATAATACAAGAAATTTAATTAGAAGTAAAATACTAAGGATTTTTTAAGAGACAAAGGGCCTAGTTTCTAGAGCTTTTAGATTTTCTAGATCAGCAATTCTTCTTCTAGGACGTTGGAAAAATGAACAACCCAGAAGTTCCAGATTCACTGCTTGTGGGGACTATCATCAACATTAAAACAGAAACCTTCAAAATTTATCCTTCAAGCATAGCCTGTGGATGAGCAATTTGAGCTGTGACTTCCTGAAACAGGAAGGCTTTTGATTCACTTGTAAACCATAATCTGACCTTTGAGCAAAGAATGATCTAGATCACCACTGTTATTTTTCAATATTACGATTGTATTCTGTTTTGGTTTCAGCTCACTAGGGCAGAGCTGAAGCTGAGGCAGTGGCTAGGGACGAACCATGGAAGGAGTAAACTGTTTTGTCTTTCAATATATGACAAATCCTCTCTCTGAAACAAACTGTCAATTACTTTTATATGTTAAAACTGAAGATGCCAAATGACTGGTATAACTCGTCCTTCTGGAAAAGTGCAGTCCATCTTAATACCCAAATCTAACTATTGTGCCTCATGGCCACAACTGGGCACACCAACATTTAGGATTAGTACTAGAGTATAGCAATCATTATTGTAAAAATTGTTGTTGTTATCAAATTTATCAAACACCTCATAAAATACATCCCTAAGTGTTTTAAAATAATGATCAAAATACAAACAAAATCACAATAAATTAAATATTCAGCATAAAATGCAATATCACATAGGAGGGACTGGAATAGTAATCATAAAAATTTATATATTGTTTTTCATTTTTATGTAAATAGAACTTAAAGCAGTTCACAAAATAAAATAACAAAACAACAGAATCAGTCCATACAGCCATATAACTGTAAAATATTCATAATAATCAAGGCTAACTAGTAGTACTAATAGCCAGGGAACAATTTGGCAAGCAGGTAACTCTTGGTGGAAGCAATCTATACTAGCAGTCCACCTGATTATTCCACATTTCATCATCATCATCATCGACTACATCACCATCATTTCCTCCAAAGAGTCTAAAGTGGCAGCTGTGATCCTCCCCACACACCCTCTATTTATCCTAACAGCCCTGAAAGGTAGGTGAGGCTGAGAGTCAATGAGAGGACTAGAACCCAGTTCTCCCAACTTCCATTTCAATTCTTACCACTACACCAGACTGAACACTGCATGTTCCTGCCAGAAAGCACCCATCAGTGCTGTGACAAAACACTGTTTTAAATGAGAGAGTGAGTTTTGCCAGATACTTGTCAAAGCTCTTTTTCCCTGGAAATGGGAGGGATAGAATTGCATACTTTTTCAATTAGAAGAAGTCTCAAGAGAAGGTGCAAAAGTACAAGACCCCGAGGAAAGTCAAGACCAAAAAAGAAAAGAAGGGGATCTCACCACAAAGGGGCTATAAAGCACACTAGCCCATTTCTGCAAGGATTCTTCCTGGCTTCGCTTTCCCTTGACAGCTCACCTTTTGACAAAACCCTGTTTGTTTGGAGCCTCACTGGGACAATGTTCACGTTTGGTACTTGCTGCACTTTTGACAGCAGGTTCTTCCCAGGAAATCAGCCAGCCACGGTTTCTAATTTCTGCATTTGTGGAATAAGTGGCTGCACAAGTGCAGCTGAAACTGGTTGTTTTTTTTAATGTATGAAATACATGTGCCCGTTGCGGGCACAAAATCAAACAAAAACCAAACAGGTTGCTAAGCACTGACAGCCCCTCCAAGGTGCTGCTTCATCAGTGGCTGTCAGGCCACAGTTTGCAAAGTGGTTCTCAAACGGGAGATCACAGTTTTTGAATAAAAACATAATTTGAGGGTGGGGAGGCAGGAACAGCAAGGAAAGTGCCTTGGAGTCGCAGGTGGGAACACCCCCCCCCCAGTGACAGTTGCCCCAGAGTGCTGACCAGGTGCTTCTGGGGCAGCTGGCACTGAAGAACTGTTGCCATTCTTGCTGCGAGACTCTCCCTTGTCCTTTCCTTTCATCCATAATGGGAACAGTTACCCGGGTTCAGATAGTATGCTAACCCCTTGTGGATGCAACCACCCCTTACAGCAAAGCATGCGCTGTCAGGTTGTTCTGCATGAACATGCACCCTCTAGGAGACAGTCTGTTTTTTCTACAGCAACCTTTCAGACTGCTGTGGCTGGTGTTTTACTATCAGAAAACACACACACACACACACACACACACACACAAGGAGGGAGGGAGGGAGGGAGGGAGAAGAAAGAGCTTTCATCCTCATCTATCTACATCCTTCCTTTCATTCACCTTCCATGCCAAAAAGATTTCTCACTCCCTACCACCAGCTATGCCGGCCTGGGCAAACAGCAACTGCATGTCAAAACATCTGGACAGAGGTAAGTGGCCCAACCCAGCTATAAACTAAGCAGCCCTATAAATCTGTGTAGTCCTGTTTTTATGAAATCTTATCATCTGGCTTTCCACATTCTGAACTATGCTTTTGTCCCGGGGCAAACTAGACGTTACTGTAATTATATGGTTACCAAAGATGTTTATTTTTTGCTTTCTTAATGGCAGTTGCCAAGGCAAATGCCACATTTTACAAAGCAAGCCTAAAATAGACCCCTGGAGAAGTGGAGTGCTTAATAATTTTAATATTGTCTATTTTCTCCTTTATTTTGTTAACAACCACTTAGTAACATTGAAATGAGAAACCAGGGTCATGGAATTTTATATTTAGATTGAATTTGGCAGTATTGCATATATTCACCATTTGTATTAACTTATGTTTAATTTGTTTACGTTCTATTCCTGGAATAAATTAGCTATTTCTTTCACAACATTGTGATGACCTGGGGTGATAAACAATAAAATCTGTTCTGATTACAGAACTAAGAATAGCATTAGGCACTGGGGTGGAAGATTTTAGTCAGGGCTGTAACACACGGAGGGAGGGGGGCTCAGCTCTGCCTCTCCTGAAAATGCTGCCCCTTGGCTGACCATTAGCCCTAAAATAAAGCCCCCCATGCCACCAACAGGAACTTGTTTCCCAAGTCTACTTGCCATGAAAGGGTTCATGTTGGGATCATACCGCAGGACAGAAGAGCGCCAACCACACTCCTGATGAAAATCCTCTCCCTACTACTCACAACTAGTAGTAATGTTTTACAAACCTACACATAGTGTCTTAGGACAACGAGAGAACATTTAGTTTGCCCCTAGGTCACTGTGCTAAGTTATATTTTTTTCTTTGAGTCCCTCAATGGTTAGTTTTATGAGTGATCATTCGCTCTGTATGGACTGAGAAGTTGTTGTGTCTGAATCTGCTCTGCCATGTCAGTCTGTGATCTCACCGGTCTCCTACACCTTGGAACCGACCCACCCCTGGTGGCTCTTTCTCATCCCAGGCAAATACAATTCCAGTATCTCTGGACAGGGAAAACTTCCAAATTAGCATAAAATATTATCACCCATGCAAAGTATTCATTTCCTGCTTTAAAATATTCTCAAAGTTCATGCTGCTCCCCACCCCTGCATCCCAACTTACATAAATTTTGTTTTGCTGGTATCGTAGGAATAGATTGTGCATGATGGCACCCTCATGGAGGTCTACCAGTGCTGCCATATCTTCAAGCCCTTCTGCGCTTGTAGGCTGCATAGCTGTTACTTTTTGGTGTGTAATTGATCTCTGTTTGTAAGTATATACCTGAAAAAGGAAAAGTCATCTATTAAAAATGAGTGGTTCTTTTGATTTTTCCTAGATTTTTGTTTGTTTCCTTCTGTGTCCCCAAAAAGCTACAAGAAATCACATACACTGTCAAAGCCATAGACCAACACAATGCATGTTCAAATATCATAATCTCTGCCCACTACAAGCTTATCAACTTTACAGAGGCATGATCCATCTATGAACCAAAGCCATCTCTAAATATAACACAATTCTCAGTCCTGAGAAGCTCTCTGTTAGAAAAGAAGAAATTTAAACAAACACGTTAGAAAAGAAATATAAACAAAACTAACTGCCTGTAGATGCAACTTTAATGAAATGCTAGCTGCTCCAGTCCAGACTGAGGTAAACCAACAGGAAATCATTATATGCAGAATTCTTTGTTCTGTGTAATGGAATCCAAAAATATAAAATATATTAATTTCATCCCTGGAATTCAACCCTGTGTGAAATGAGGTTCCAAGCATTCCCTTCCCCTCTTTCAGCTACTCCCCTCATCATGAATAGAATGGCAGTGCTTGACGTAAGGTATCTAAAATAGACCTATCAGCAATTGTTTATTTATAATTAACCATAGGCCATTACACTAAAGTACAGTTTTAAAAAAGAGAAAAACAAATTAAGATTTATTTTTTGCAAAGCAGCCCCATTATTTCCTTGTAGCCATAACAAGCAGCCCTAACGTAACAAACAAAAGATTGAGCTTCACCCCGCAGAATGCCTCTACAACATCCTGAGGTGACTTACAGAGGTGATATGTGAAATGTATTTCCCCTTTGTTTCCCAAAGCAGCATGCAATGTGGAAGATCTTTAACCTATCCACTGCATTAAGAACCCTACCAATCCAAGTTTGGTACACTCAGATACCTCCCTTCCAATCATGCGGACGGCATGTCCTGAAACCCTAGTTCAGAACAGCCCTGCAAATCTGAGGGTAAATTCTGGAAGTTGACCTGGAATTACTCTTTTCGGATCTTAGTGAAGCTTGGTGAGAAACAGGAATCATTAATGTTTCCTCTAACTATGTGTGTATCTTGGTCCAGAGTGCATCATTAGGTTCCTTCATAAATTATAAAGCTCTTTATTCTCCTATGTATACCCAGCAAACTATAACCAGCAAAGAAAGAGTGTACACAAAGTGGTTTGTTGAACCAGAACTAGACACTACTTCTGAGAACCCTCCTTTTGCCTAACCCTGGACCCCATCCCTCTGGGAGTGCCCTTCTGGAACGTAGCCCCTCTAGTTGGCCAGCCGTTCTCTCCCAACGCTGCAACATGGAGTCAAGGATTGTACTAAGCTGTTCGGCTCCTGTCTCATGCCCCCTCCTGGGTTCTCGGAGTTTGCCTGAACACCTGGAGATGGCCTTGAGAGAAGTTCTTCCATTTCTTCCATCTCTACATTGGAAGGCCCATTTCCCAGGGCTCATCCGCCCCATTGAGTCCAAGCCAAGGACAACTGACTCTTCCATTCCTGGCAGGTAATAGGGCACCTCTGCTCCTACTTCCTGAAAGCTTCCTGAAAGCCATTCTCTTCTCTTTTCCTTCCTTTCTGCTACCACCGCTAAAGCTTCTGCTTCTTCCCCGGTCCTCCATTCTTTCCTTTTGCTGCCTGAGTGTTTTTGTTTGTTTTGTTTTGTTTTTTGGGGGTGGGGGGGGAGATGGAAGAAGAGGAAAGGAAATCTGATTATGGCTATGACATTACTGGCACTCTTTTAGAGCAGAGATAGGCAACTCTTTTGTATCTGTCTTTACTTGTCTTTTATTTCTTTGGAGAGGGCTCAAGAACCTGTTCTGTGGTCCTCTCGGCCTAGTACGCTCATTTTTGGGATTCTCTTTTCTTCCCAGTTCCCACTTCCAGGATTCCTTCTTTCCTTGACTCCTCCTTCCTGCCCAAGACTTCCCTCTTCTGCAGCCTTCCTTCTCTCCCCTGTTGCTCCTTTATTGCTCTTAATATTTTCATTAAAATGTTTGTATTTTTTTTACAATTTTACAGCATTCATTGTATATTAGAGTGCTGTTTTTATGACCTGTTGTAAACTGCCCAAGGGGTTTTGGCTATTGGGTGGCACAGAAATGAAATAAATAAATAGTACTAATGATAACTTTTTGCTCTCTCACTACTAAGTGCTGCAGAAGCAGCAGTGGGGATGAGCAGGGAGAGCGATGGCAGCAAATTGGCAGGGGGACACTGGCCGGTTGGCAGAGGCACGTGGGCTCTGGAAGGTGCCAGGGTGCCTTCAGGTTGCCAACCTCTTGCTTTAGAGGTTGATCTGGCCCGCATGATGCAAACTGGGAGACCCTGTTCCAGTACTCTTCCATTTTGTTTCATTTGTTCATGTTCTTTTCACGTGACTAAGTAAAGGACTGACTTGAAAGCCTCACTGAATTACGGCAAAGTATTACAGCTATTTATTCATTCATCAAAATGGGTCATGGATATCACAGAAATACAAAGCCATTGGGCCACGAGAAAGAACCATCCAATTTAGCTTCCAATTGCAGGCAAATTCCCAAGCTAGTCCTGGGAAGAAGCACTGTCCCCTGCAATTGCCATTCACGACATACTCTTTCTGAATACAGAAGCTGCATTTCTAGCTGTCGTGACCAATGCACAAGACCAGAGGAATTTCTAGTTATATTTACATCGTCTTCAAACAATTTACACTTGTGGTCATTCTCACATCATGGGTTGCTAAGCTAGTTCTATAAGCTAATTATATATCATGGGAAGAAGTGTTTCTTTGCTTTTAGAACACGTTTCCTTCCAATTACACTGTTGGACCATGGACCGTATATTATCTGGCAAACTCTGATGCCACTCAAACATAATATGTAAGTACATGAAGGAGAACTTGCACACATGAAGAAACGATTGCAAGTGATTTCCACTAAGCGTGTAGTAATCTTCCTGATTAGCTTCAAAACTGCCTGTTCTTGTGTATATTTTACATATCTAAGAGTTACTATTTTTCAGAAGAGAGCCAGAACAATAATCACCTTTAACATTTCCAAAATTCAAAAACTGGTAATTGTGGAGGTTTTAATAAGATGAAACATAAAAAAGACCTTCTAAAACGTTCCACAATACTTATAATGCTTTTATTCCCTCTTATTTGAGAATTATGATCATGAGCAAACTGGTTTGCTGAATTGTTTACAAAACATTCCAAGTCCACTTTCCTCTTGACCCAACAACAAGTACATACATGCTTTCAAAGACATTAACAACAGGTTTGTATTTTCTACACAGATCTGTTTTACTCAACAGAATATAATTTCTGAGTAGCTTGAATAGTTCAGCTCTTCTTTCTAAAAACCCCTTTATACAGTTAATTTCCTGAGATCATCTCTTATTTTTGCTTATGATGCGCTGGTTTGGGCTGTGTTCCTAAATTTAAAAAGTAAGACATAATTCCCAAACCATTTCGCCTTTTACAAGCAACATCCCTGATCTCTTGTTAAGCTTTGGACTGGTAGCTTATTTCACCCCTTCCCCACAAAAGTCAGTATCTCACAGCACAACTCTCTATTGTTAATCATTATCCCTTCTTGCTTCATACAAGAAAAGCAGAAGCTGGACTTTGCCTGCTGTGGCCTGGCTCATTTCAGTCACCTGCATGAAGAAGGTAATATCTGAATTGGGAGATCTTCCATGTACTTAAGTGTGGGATTTTCCCTACTCTAATTGCATACAGTGAGATACAGGCGATTATGGAAATTGCACGCAACCTCCTTTTCAGTTCAAATGGTAAGATTCTGCTAGCCCCTTCAGTGGTGGGTCTCCACTGGAATTCAAAGAACATCACAGATTCCAGTACACAATTCTTCCCTATGTTTGCATACACCTTTCTCCAAATGCTGCCATAACTGCTAATAGCAGAGTTTTAATTCAGAAGCCTTTTAAACATCCCATAAATCGGCGGCTAAGAGAACACAACATCCTACAAAGTAGTGGCGCTGAATTGAGCCCAATTCAGGGAAAGTGGACAAAGAGGCTACACCTACACAACTGGATACAAGCCCTCTCAACCGCATGCACAGCTGTACTAATCGAGAAAATAGAAAGGCAGCCCAGTAGTTCAGCTTCAAAAATCAGAACATGTGTACCGTACCAACATCACAAGCTGGATGCTACTGTTAATTACAGTGGAGGGAAGGAAGACGTTTCGTGTAATATTTTTTTCCAGGAGCCAAAGTAGTTGCTGTCTGTGTGTGTGTGTATTGCTGGCTCTTAGGAGAACTGCTTGGAAGTGGAGCTGAAAGAAATCTGTAAGCAGATCCCTGAGTGGGAGGAAGAAAGAAATGATTGCTCCCTTCCCCAGAATGCTGCCAACATTCTTTCTGCCTGAGCTGAAATCTTGTCTGCTCAGCCATAGCCTAGGAAATTGGAGTGGATCTCCTTTCCCCTGCTGATTTCCCTTCCTAGGAAAGACAGATGGTACTCTCAGCAATCCACGCTCTGAAGCCAGACCACCTACGGTTCTTCCAAGGCAACATTCACAGCTTGGGGATGCCCCAAAGAGACACTACTCTGGATATATGGTAGCACCTACATTCAATAGCAACTGTGAATAGGGACATACGTTATCTGTGGGTTCCCAGCCATACAAATTTGATCCCGGGCTTTCCGTTTGAGAACTTGGGCCAGTAAGCACTGGCAGAAAAGCCTACCTGCTGTCTGAATGTGCGCACACGCACAAAGAGCTGTTTGACTAATTGTGGTGCCTACAAAAAGGATAACTTTTTGTACCGTTGGGGAGGTTCCTATTTCAACTCTCCTTCTGAAGTTAAATGTTACTGGGATTGACAATCCAATCAGAAAGAACTCTACAGACATCTAGCCAAGTGTGCAATCAATTCACTTAACTGCCACACGTTCTTATCTAAATATCAGAAATGTGAGGGTCTAAAGGTCCCATAGCTTTCCTAGCCTATTTCCCACAAGGGAAAAGGCAGAGGGTCACGGGTTGGATCCAGG